ATATATATATATGTATATATATAATTTAACTTTTTTGAAATTACATGATTGAGTATCTCTCGTGAGCTTTCTGCTGTCTGAATAAAAGTTTTATAATTTGCAAAGACTAATTTCTGTGTAGTTTGAAGCACTGCGTTTTTTTCATCAGATAAATGATCAGGTTCTTTACCTAAAAATTTTTCATGCAGAATAAATCTGTATCTTATTGATGTACAAAGCAAAATTTAAATAAATAAGCTGGATAATAAAGGTATTCGTACTTAGCTGATCTACATCAAAGCCTCCAAGTTTTGAGAGATACTGATAAAAATTGGGATTTTCTTTCCAAGATTCTGAAATCGTAATTGCATAAAATGATACAAATGTACCATAATGAGCAATAATGCGTTAAAACAATTAATTTCCAAATAATAATTAATCTTACCCGAGATACCTTCCGGAAATATCAGATTTATCACATTCTCCGTTTCAATATCCATGATCCTTTTAACAAATGTATAATATCGGTTGTTAAAGCATTTCTGTTAATGCAAAATATTATTTTTCAGCGAATTGTTGAGACAAGTAGCAGATAGCCTCAGCAAGATACTTTTCTTTGATTTCAATATATTGATTCAATAATATGTAAATATATAATTCAATGACTTCTTTTATAACCTTATATAATTATTGTAAAAGATTTTTATCGATTTAGATTATAAAAAATAATTTCTTTATATTTCGATTAAACTTTGGGCGATTATAAAAATTTTATTACGAAAGTTCTCAATGCAACGACACGTCGCTGAATCGCAAACGTCATCTTTAGCCGTTAAAGAAAGCCTGTAAGCACTAAGCACGAAAAATCAGCTGATCGACTGTCGACTGGAGGAAATTTACCAAGAGTCGGCGTGATAATATTCGACGATTGAATTCAATTAAATTTATGAATTAAAAGTTTTCTGAAAATCATTAGTCTAATTATTTTATTGCACGGGAAATGGCTTTAAATCTGATCAAACAGGTATATTTTTGCGATCGACTTGTATATAATCTCCATACACCGAGTAAGATAACCTGTAAAAGACATCCATTATTGAACATTTATCTTATTACGCACAATTGAATTGTTTAACGATTGCTTTTATTCTAGATTGCAGTAATTAGACAACGTTTACTCGCAACGAAAACTTTATCGGCAAAATTTTACACTGGAAGTCTGTACGAGCCAGATTATTTAGAGGTTAGATTTACACTTTTGGGTGTTTGAAGTATACATAACACGTTTTGTTAGTTTTTCGATTTTTACAGACAGGAAAACCAAAATTTCCGCTTTTATCTACGATAAATGTACAAATTAAAGGTTATGATTATCCTGTGCTCGAATGTTATCAGTCTTTTATACACAAATTAGCGGATATCATACAAATCGACATAGACAATGGGTAAATTTGTTAAATTTTCTTAATTTTCTCTCAATTTTTACTCTTCAATTTTTAAAATAATCCATATTCTTTTGTTCAGCTGGCCATTACCACCTCAAGAATTCACGATTCAGAAATATAAAACTGGAACGACAATAATTATGTCCAAGTATTATCTCAAAATTTATGAAAGAAATATACAAATGTCAGAAGTACCGTCTATAAAATGCTCAGTATTAATCAGAGCATTGGAGGCAGCTTTACCACAAGGTGTTACTTTAAATATAAACATTTATGACCCCGCATCAGAAGAGAAGCGATATGTACCAGATAAAGAATTGATCGATTTGAAAGCATCGCTAGATACATTAAAGAATAAAACTTAAATGTTGTTGCGATTAATATATTATTTGTAAGTGTAAATAATACTTGTACATACTCTTACAAAAATAGCATCTCTTTCCAAGCATGTAAATTTTTTAAATAGTAAAAATTTGAGAAAGTTATACACAAGATTAATGAAGAAAAGTTCTTATTAACTTTTCTATGAGAAAGTTATACAATATATACAAAAAATTTATAAAAATAGTTCGATAAACTATTTCATAATATTCTTATTATCAATTTTGACTCTAAAACAAAATTAGATTAAATTTGGAGGAGTCTAGATTCCCCCTAATTATTTTTTATTATAAATAATTGTCAGACCTATTTTTTATTTATTATTCTTCTGGCACTATTTCCCTGTTTACGCTCGCGCATGATACATGCATGTAATCCATATTTCTTTTAAGATATTTGTTTACAATAAACCAAAATGCACAACTTTAATCTTTGTACTGTCATCAGTCTTCGGAGGTTCTTTTATTTTTTCATCAGCATTATCTTCTGCAAAATGTCAAAAATTAATATTAGACAAAGTCGTGTTGTTCACAATTGTGTTGTAAAGCTTCTTACATATACAAAATAGATGTACTAATGTAAAATGCTTACTACACAATGGTTGAAAATCTTTAAGGTAATCTTCATTACCCAGACAAAGTGGAAGACTTTCAGCAAGTTCACGTTTAGGATCCGTTATACGTGTTTGTGTAGTAGATCGTTTTTGTCTGTATACTTGAGTCTGTAAGAAAAATTTTATATGTATATATATATATATATATATACACACATGCGCGCGCGCGCGCGCACACACACACACACACACACACACACACGCACGCACGCACGCACGCACGCACGCACGCACGCACGCACATATATCTTTAAAACTACTTACTGTGCCAGGTACTAATATATGAGTGACAGTGTCTGAAAATTTCACTTTTGGCTTTTCATTAGAAAGAGAACTTGATATATCAGCAAACGATGGACACGTAGAGCAAATCTTTGAACTAGCGATAGACGTATTAATTATAGGCAGAGGTGGTACGTTAGAAAACATTTTAGTTTCTCTATTAACGGTTTGAGAAGACCTCGACGAGTGTTTATTCTCAAATAATCCATGTTGTATACTGTAACTAGGATGAAAATTTCGCGAGGAAAATTTGCTAACTGTTTGTGAAAGTTGTAAATCTGTATCGTCGCGAGAACCCTGAAACGGTATGTAATCTAGATCGTAATTGTATCTATATGTTTTGAAAGATAGAGATGTTTTCTGATTTTCAGGTATATTAGATGTTGTGGAATTCTGTTTTTGTAAAATGCACAATGGCATATGGGTTTTATTCGATGTAAATTTCTCCAATTCTTTAATATTTGGCAAACCTTGAGTGCTCCTAGATAAAAGATAATTTTTTCTAGGTAAATCATGAAGGCAATTAGAGAAAGAATTTATCAGAGAAGGTGGTGATGGAATAGTGATGTTTGTTTCTTTTTCTTCCATTATAGGATGTTTAACGGCTTGATCATTGACATTGTTAAACGTGTTGGGAAATGTAATGTCGTTACTTTCAAGAGTTGTATATCCTTCAAGATTATTAAACGAAGTAGACATCAGATTGTTACAAGTATTATTCGAAAGAGGCAATTGATCCGTTGTATGAGTATTATCGATAAGAGTTTTAGTTAATGATTTATCAGATATCTTTGAAGATTTCATGCCTCGTAACATAAAAGTTGTTTCAGAGTTATTGTTCGCTATTAGTGCATTGACAGAGTTATTATGCGAGATAGGAGTATTAGCGATTCGAGTACCGAATGACGTTGACATAACATTATTATCAATGACGTTTAAACAACTCGTCAAATAATTATTAGAATGAATGTCTTCCGATTCATATATTGGCTTATTGAAAGGAGTAGAGATAAAGCTATCGTCTTGCGCGCAAGTAGTTATTACGTTAGTAGTGGAACTACTAAAAGAATATGATATTTCATTGAGTAACGATTGCTCGTATGATCGCTCGTCAAAATTATTGCTAGACTGATCATTCACTATTACATCTGATTCATTGAAAGAAATACTGCCGAATGACGTAGTCATCAAGTCGTCTGATGCATTGTTAAATACTTGAGAACTATTAATGACATTCGCCGCGCTAATCGGTGTAAAATTTGAGTGTGTACTGTATAATGATTTATTAAAAGAAGTCGATGATAAAAATGGGCTCGAAATATGCGAAGAATGATTAAACGAAGTTGTTAAAATGTTATTAGAAGTGTCGAAGGACGAAGGTATTAAGATATAGTCAGTCTTAATAGTGGACGGAATATTATTGTATGGGGCGCAAAGTGTGTTTTTTGCGGTATGATGAGGATGGACAACTGGTAAGGGTGGGATTTGATTTGAACTGGAAGCTTTTCTGTAACGGTACTTTCGCGATCGTTTCAGATTAAGTCGTTTTTCTTTTTGAGAATCTTCGCTCTCTTCACTATATGTTGCTTCTATCTGCTCTTCCTCCTCCTTCTCTTCCTCTTTCTCCTTCTCTTCCTCCTCTTCTTCCTCCTCCTCCTCTTCCTCTTCTTCCTCCTCCTCCTGTCCCTCATCCTCTTCCTCCTTCTCCTCCTCTTCCTCCTCCTCTTCTTCCTCCTCTACTTCCACATTCTTCTCTTCCTCTTCCTCTTCTTCCTTCTCATTACTTGAATCGGAACATACAGAACACGATGTTCTCGAACATGTGGAATCTATAAAAATTTATTTATTTAAATAGATACAAGATAATCTGAAGGATATTAAAGTCTTTAAAAGTCCTTTTCCAAAGATTTGACAATTCTTACGTGAACCACTGCAACTGTTTGATCTGCTTAGAATACTCTCAGCTTTTTCTTTGGCTGCAATTGCCAGTTCCATGTCATTCAAAACCGTAGCATAGAAATGTATGTCCATAAAAAGATCGTGATCATTTAGATCAATAGCTAGTCGAAAAGCCTTTTCAAACATCTTATATCTACAAAGATCATAAAAAAATGATTAGAGTAAAATTTAGAATGATTAGAGTTAAATTTTTAAATTCATATCAGATGATGCACTACCTTAATAAATGATGGAAAAATCTCCTCGTCAAATCTCTTACTTCGTCTCCATATTCTTCTTCGACAGTTTGGCTTATTGGTTTAATAGGTACGTGGAAACTGCCTAACGCATTCTGTATCAGACCTATTGGATCAGATTAATAAATTAGAATAAGATTATTTTTTTAAATCATTAATAAGTAATCTTTTAATTAAATGTCAGACAAACAGTAAAACAAAATCTTATTTTACCTTCGTGTTCCATTGTTAATGGTAACTTAAATAAATAGTTTAAGATTTGATTAAGCGAATGCATGCAAACACGTGGATGCGTATCCCAATTCATTGACAATAGCAAAGAAGTCGCTTGTTCTGCTCGAGACTCTGACAAATATCTTCTGACTAATTCATCTCCGGAGAGAGTATCGCCTTCAATCACTTTAATAACTCCAATCGGTCCTCTGAAAATACAGAATAAATTGTCACGTACCAATCAATATCGAATAAGTTGCTTGATAAAATAGTAGTTCTTACCGTTCGAAAAGTAATAAGAATAAAGAATTGCCATTGTTGTAATAACGTATCTGATTTGGATCACTTTTCCTGTTCCATTCCATATGCAGCAAAGCATGCTGATTCCTGTGTTGTGTATTATTATTTTATTAATCCAATTTTATGGCCATGTCTTACCGACTAATTATTTCATTGTTCGTACTTAAAATATGATGATAA